AAACAAGAAACTGAAAATTGTCCTGAAAGAAAGGGTTTCTTGAGCCACATGCAAGCCAGGAAAGGACCAGGTCCCGGTCCATGCCGTCTAGCCCCCAGCAGCGGCCGGATGGGGAAGACAGACGTCTGCTGTCCTGGGACTGGCAGGACCGTTCCAGGCGATGAGTTCAGAGAAGGAAGATGCACGCTGTTTTGACAGAATTTCCATTGGCCGCAGGTAAAGGGTGGAGCAGGGGGAAAGGGGAGCGGAGACATTGCTGGGACAGGTGCACAGCACAGGGAGAGGTGTCTGCTCCTTTGGGACTGGCTGTGGGCAACAGTCAGGAAAGTTCCTGCGTCAGCAGGAGGCGGTGGCATCTGGAGGTCGGCTGTCCTCCCTAGATAATGACGGAAGTTCGTTCAGAGTTTTAACATACTTTCAGGAACGGAAGCAGTCTTCTCTCGGTTTCTGCTTGTAGCTGTTAGCCTAGTATCTTCCCTTCCACCCTGCGGCCGGCCTGCTTTAATTCCACTTAGGACATCTCAGTATTTTTCCTTGGCACTAGGACGGCTGTCGGCCTGACTCTCAGGTGCATGCTCCCTGGATCTGGAGCTTCAGCATCCCTTGGGAACTCGATAGAAATGCAAATTTTCGTCCCTGTCTCAGTCCCCACCCCTCAGACCTTTGGAATCAGAAATGCTGGGGTGGGACCCAGCAGTGTGCGTTTTCACAGGCCCGTGGGAAGGGAGGGGGCCTGTTCTTGTGTGCATTTAGATGTCCCTGGGAGCTTTAAAGAATCCAGATTTATCTTACATGCATTTCATTTGTTGGTGTGGTTTCTAAACATTCTGACAGTTGATTATTTCTTTCTTTTATATTTAAAGTAAGTAAGTTACGCAAGACTTTTATTCCCGGAGTACAGGAAGCCCTGGGCTTGAACTGGAAGCCCTGGGTCGAGTCCTCTGATAATATCTAGCTTTGCCATTAGTATCACTATGGGAAGTCTTGGTCTTTGCCTCTAAAGTGATTTAGGGACAAGGTTCTCTACATCTCTGTTGTGTTGTTATAGTTGGTCTTTGTTTTGGTTTTAAATAATTGTTTTCTGTTGTGTTTCTTTTGCTGCAGGAAAAGGGTCTGGTTTCTGTAACTTTAATATTGCCGTGAAGATTCTTGAAAATAGAATAGCGTGTGACCTTATTTGTCATTGAGAAAAGAAAAGTCCAGATGTCCCGGCCACACCTCATACCAATGAAATCGGAACCTCTGGTGGCGAGAGCCAGGCATCCGAGTTTTCTAGAACCTTCCAGGAGATTCCACTGTGGGGCCAAATTTGAGGACCAGTGTTTACAGAAGTTGAACTCTGTCCCTTTTGGATTTAAGATTCTAGAATTTGCCTCTGTGATTCTGTCCTGTCTCCCTAAGGTCAAGTTTCAATGGGCAGGATGTGACTGGCAATAGGGCCGGGAGGGGATGGCTGAGTCCCTACTGTCCCTGGTGGAAGCCGTGGCTGCTTGCTTCTGATTTGCTGTGTACTCAGGAAAAAGGGATCCCAGGATGCTCTCAGAACCCCCACCCCACCCTGCCACCTAAATAACAGGCAAAGGGACCCTAGATCTATGGGGATGAAATCTTGTAAGAGAAACTCTTAGATGCAGTCAGACTGGTGTTACGTGTTCAGCCTTTTCTATTGACGTATGAACACTTACCAGCGCTGTGTGTGTGCTTCGCGCTCGGTCAGGCTGTGGGAAGGCCCTGGGCTGTGGAGGTGTGAGGAAGAATGACAGGCCTTACCCTCAGGGAGACCTCGAGAGAAGGACCCTGGTGCTTAGGAGTTCAGGCAGGTGAGGTCCCTCTTAGCCAGAGGGGGTCAAGGCCACTGCATGGGACGATCAGATCAGCAATGTGGGCCTTACACGAAGGGGAAGATTTCAGATGGTAGGGACAGTGCAAAGGGGGTGTCCAGATAGGGGCTGACGAAGGGAACAAGCAAAGGCACTGGGGTAGGAAGATCTCCTAGGAATTGTCATGCAGGCGCCTGCTGTGAGGCTGGGCTGGCATCTCCTGGGTTAACACCCCTCTGGGGCCTGGTCAGTGGCATGCACTTCACAGAACTAGGATGTGGCATGGAGTACAAACTCCCATACCCCCAACCTCAGCCCCCTGAACAAGGTGGCAGAGGCAGAGCCTAAATAATGAGGCCATAAAGCCTGATGTGTGGCTTTTAAGGGGAGGAAGGGGGTGCTGGTCATTAGGAGCAGGAAGTGGCCTGTCCTAGGGTTTCTGCAGCCTGGAGCTCCCTGTGCCCTTTGATGTCCCTGAGGGGCCTTTGAACTTTGGGAGCAACAGATTCTCTCTTTGCATCAGCTCCCTCCTGCAGGCCAGCTTGGGGGTGGGGAGCTTTGAAGGGGATGGAGAGTGCTGGGGGCTGCTTTCCAAAGCCCATTAAGTAGCAGCTCCTGGAAGAATCCGTGGCAGAGATTGCCTTCGAGGGGGGCAGCCAGGCCTTTGGAAACGGCCCTGTGTTCTCCCCACATGAGCCCCTTTATTTAGTGCAATCCCAAACTAAGAGGACTTTTTATGGAACTTGATGAACCACATCATATGGAAAAGTAAATCCCTGAGATCATTTTGGAACAACCCCAACCAAAAACACACAGGAGAGGAAGGAAGGCGTATTCCTTCCTCTAATTCTATCTGCCTTGTCTGAGGCAGAGTTTTTTCTTAACACCCTACAGCCTTTCCATCGGAATCAGTGTCGTCCCCTCTGAAATAGTCACGTACCTTGGGAGACTGTCCTGCTTCCATCAATATAGATGTTCTAAATTTGTTTGGAACGTCTCCCTGGAGTCAGCTTCAGGTGCCCCACCCGCTTCTAGAGAATGTTTTCCAACTCTAAGAAATGTCTTTACAAGGACATGCTCCCCACTGCTTGCTTTCTACAAGTCCCCAAAAAGTTGCAAGGTCTTTTTTTTTTTTCCCATGAATGTCTACGAAATATTGTATTATCACTTGGTTCCATTAAAATTGATTAACCTGCAAAAAAGCCTTCCTGTCCCTCTAGAAAGATGGTGTCCCACAAGGAACGGCAGATGTGCCGAGTCTCAAACATGTGGCCGTCACTCCCCGCTGTCAGGACTTGGGGAGAAGCCACGTGTCCCTTGTTTCAAGGAAGGCAGGGGCTGGGCCACCACCTCTTCTAGCTCCACCGCCGGTGCGGCAGGAAGAGGCAAAGGTGGAGGCTTGTTTCAAGATAAAGTCGACCCAGGCCCTTAAGTTATTACTGTGCGTGATGAATCTCGGCCACACGTGACACGCGGCCTGTCTGTGTCCTTAATTCCACAGTCACTTAAAGTTAAAATTACTGTGTGCTCTTAACGCCACTCGTTTTTGTTAAATGTAATGTTGCCAGAGCTAATAGATGCCCTGGGACATAAACCTACAATAACATGCGTTTCTCAGTCGAGCAGCCCTTCATTTAAACTAAAAATAGCCTCGGCAGTAGTTTGCGCGAACCGCAAATATCACGACGCCCAGTGCCAACGCTGGTTCATCAAACTGCAACTTTACGAGGCACTTAGTTAGCGTTTGGACATTTTCAGCCATGAAGCAGCACGTTTTACGGACATAAACAGGCCTGAAAGGAACATCAGCGGGCCCCGCGTAAGCTACCCTCAGCCGACGGGTGCGGGTGGGGTGATGCGGTGCAGGGCACCGGGCAGCAGGTTTGCAGAGGTCCCGGCCGCTCCGGCCAACCCGACTCGGCGCGGCGGGGAAGGGAGGGTCTGCGTGGCCTGGCGCGGAGCAGGAACGCGGCCCGGGCCTCTCCCTGGGAGGCACCAGGATGGGCCAGCGAGCAGGGGAGTCGACGGCCCGAGACATTCCAGGGAAACCCGGGAAGCGTGACTCTGGAGGAGCATTCAGAACCTCATTTTTAAAAAATATATTTTTACTGATTTCAGAGAGAGGAAGGGAGAGGGGGAGAGAGAGAGAGGAAATCAATGATGAGAGTCATTGACCGGCTGCCTCCCGCTCGCCCCCTGCTGGGGATCGAGGAGCCCGCAACCCGGGCCTGTGCCCTGACCGGGAATCGAACTGCGATCTCCTGGATCCTAGGTCGTTGCTCAACTGCTGAGCCACACCGGCCGGGCCAGGACCTCTTTTGATGAAGATCTCTGTTCGTGTCGTCCCCTCTCCCAGGCTTGCGCGATCTGAGGTCGGGATAGCACGTCGTACACCATCGTGTCTTCTCTCCTAGTCCATTCCTCACACTTGAGAAAACTCTAATAAATATTTTTGAATGAATGAAAGCAAATTTTTCCCCTACGGGGCTATTGACAAAGAACGGATCTTTATGCACATCGAGTCTCTCCCCTTAAAGCCACAGGCCACCTGACCTGCGTGTTCTGTGTCGCAGTTTACCCCGGTGACAGCTTGTGTGCGAACTAAGATCACTGGTCAGTGTACAGCGTGTGGTCGGTCCCCCATGACTACACCGGCATCCCAGGTACCTCTGGGCGGGGAAGGCGGCAGGTGTGATCTCGGGGGACACAGGTATACTGGTGTGAGAGGCTGAAGCCACATTTTTCATTCATTTGACGATCTGCACTGTGATATTCTATAAGTCAGTGTCTCGGATGGTTCCTACGAGCCCTTAGCATAATGGCCTCTCTTTAAGGCAACAATGGGGTATTTTAGTGCCGAAAAGCAAGTCAAGTCATCTGAAATGTATAGTTTAGGAACTATAGTCTCACAATTAATATAATTTGTTCATTTATTATTTGTTGTTTAGCAAATGTGGTTAGTGCTTTTGGCTCCGTCTTCATTCATTCAGTAAGCAAATCGCCGCCCTCTATCTCCCTGGCAGCTGTGGCCATTGGTCTTCACTGAGAGACCAGCCGAGCTCCAGGTGTCCCACCTGACCCCTGTGAATTCATGACTGAGTTAAGAATGGGACGCTAGACTGTGGAATCCGAGATGAGAAGCCTGAAGCCTAAGTGTCTCCTTTTCCTTCCCTCGGGCAGCTTGGGGATGAACCACGATGATGACCACTCCTCCTGCGCCGGCAGGTCCCACATCATGTCGGGGGAGTGGGTGAAAGGCCGGAACCCCAGCGACCTCTCCTGGTCTTCCTGCAGTCGAGACGACCTTGAAAACTTCCTCAAGTGAGTCCTTGAATCATTCTACACCTTCCTTGCAACAGAAAGTACTTCCAGAAGACACAGCAGTCGGGTCTCAGCAAGGGTGGGGAGGGGAAATGATCTCTTTGAGGATTCTCAGCTGGCCTAATGCGGCGGTCAGTGCAGATGTCCCATGTGTGCACCTGGTATGAGTGTGCATCTGGTGCGGTGTGTGGACCTGGTGTGTGTGCACTGGTGTGGTGTGTGCACCTGGTGTGTGTGCATCTGGTGTGATGTGTGCACCTGGTGTGTGTGCACTGGTGTGGTGTGTGCACCTGGTGTGTGTGCACTGGTGTGGTGTGTGCACCTGGTGTGTGTGCATCTGGTGTGGTGTGTGCACCTGGTGTGTGTGCATCTGGTGTGGTTTGTACACCTGGTGTGTGTGCATCTGGTGTGGTGTGTGCACCTGGTGTGTGTGCATCTGGTGTGGTGTGTACACCTGGTGCGGTGTGTGCACCTGGTGCGGTGTGTGCACCTGGTGTGATGTGTGTATCTGGCGCAGTGAGTGCACCTGGTATGGTGTTGGGTACCTAACTTGTATTCACAAATGCTTGTCTGTTGATTGAAATATCAGCACAGTGACTCTCTTGAAGCCTGTTTCATTTCTTTGCAGTATTTTGACCGTGAGTGGACACTGACAGCCGTGGCTGTGGCTGCTGTAGAGCAGATGGGTCCTCCATGCTCAGGCTGAACCCCTTTGATAGGGACGTGCCTTTGCCGGGGGGAAGGGCTCGCTCATCTCCCTCGTGTGTGGGGACGGATGGGTTTATCTCGCTGACACTTTGTTCCCAGAATGTGCGCATTCTCAGATTTCTGCAGAAGAATTGACCATCTGGTTTCAGACATTTTTCAGTCTGTGCCCATGCACTGGGCCCCTTAGTGTCAGGACCTCGGTGCTGAACTTAGAGGTTTGACAGCAGACCCCGATCGCTTCTCTACTTGGCTGTACTCACGTGTACACCCCATGGAGGTGGAAGGGCCTCACGACTCTCACCACTGTGGAGCTTCTGGGTCCAATGACACATTTCAAGTACCGGTGACTTCGAGTGGACCAGCAAAGGCCACTCTGGCTGCTGTCCTCATCCTGGGTCTCCTGTCATGGTGTTCCCTGTAGGCAGGGAAATTCAGTGTATACAAGGCTTAAAAATGGACTCATTCATTTTAACAGAGTCTTCGAAGTCACAGAATCAAAATGAAATGTTGTAAGACACTTGACATTTCATTTTACCCAGAGGATCCATGAAGCAAGGCAGGGTGTTTTCATTTGTTCATACACAGTGCTGGTCCCACTGCCTTTGTTCAAGTGGTGTGTGTGTGTGTGCATGCGCGTGGGTCTGGGTCTGGGTCTGGGAGAGGTGGACCCCTGTGTACTTAGGTGCATGCAACTATTTTCTCCCAGAATCTTAGCAAGAGGCTTGCTTTTGTTTCTACTACCATCTGCCTCATTTTAGGAAGTAAAACAAAATCAAAGCGTTCATGTTTTTAACCTCCCAATGGGGCTGCAGCCTCACAGCGCCCGTTTAGTTTTCCAGAGGCGTTCTCAGCAGCCCCGAACAGTCCCACTGGTTGAAATCCCAGGGTCCTTTGCAGAGTGCGCCCCCGGCCACCTTTCAGCGATGGCAGAAGGTGTCCTCGGGTGGGACATCTGGACCAGCCAGTTGCCACAGAGAATCTGAAAAGTTGCAAATAAGCACTGTGCCTTTATTTAAAATAAAGCAAAACAACCCCAACTCCTAATAAAGAGAATTTTCTTTATTCATAGTAACTTTTGCTCAAAGCCATATTCTTAAGAAAGTGTCAGAGGAATCTATTTCAAAAGCACTTCCATCCAAGAAGACGCCCAGACTCCTCCAGAAAAGTACACGAGCCTCGTGGGTGTCTTTCCCAGGCCCTTGCTTAGTTGCCAAGCTCTCGTTGCCTTTGGAGTCAGGAGACCCACGTGGCCGTGTGGACAAAGAGGAGAGTGTGAAAAAACCCGGAGTCTGTGTGTTCAGGGCCTGGGGCACCTTCCCATAAATAATTTGGAGGTGCACCCTTCTCGATGACTGAAAATCAAAACAAAATGCTGGGCGGTACATTCGAAAGTCAACTCGCCACTTGGCTGTTTCAGGTCAAAAGTCAGCACCTGTTTGCTGGTCACGGACCCCAGGAGCCAGCACGCGGTGCGCCTCCCTCACAAGCTGCCTGGCATGCACTACAGCGCCAACGAGCAGTGCCAGATCCTGTTTGGCACCAACGCCACCTTCTGCAGAAACATGGAGGTAAGTGGCCTGGCGGCAGGGGGCTCAGGAAGGAGCGTCTGGCTTCTGCTGGAGGACACAGGTATTCACACTCCATGCACACATGCATATGTGCACATACACACTCACACGCACATGCATATACATCTGCCACCATGGGCATTTGCACAGTGCACGCATAGAGATCTCTGTGCGCACACACTCGCACACGTAGGCGACCTGTGAGTTGGTTCGGAAGATCAGAGCGGAATCTGCAGGTGGGGCACTGTCTGCCATTATTTGGGATGCAGGAAAGGCCAGGACCTCTAAACCAGGCAAGCACCTCCTGCTAGCTGTGTGCCCAAAGGGGATTTATCCACAACATTGTCCTGAATCCCCCTCTGTCGTTCCCCTGCAGAGGCGCCAGCAAGGGTCCTTCCTGGGCCTTGGTAACAAACGGGAAGCTGTCTCCCACTTCATACCAACTGATACAACTTTCATTCATTTGGGTTCACGACATGTTCCGTTTAGATGTTGGCCTCCTCGAGGCCCTGAATGTCCCATGTCTCCAAATCGACAGCACTGTGCCGTTCTCCACTCTGATAACCAAACCAGTGGCACCGTGACATCTCACGGCGTTTTCAGTTGTCTCAGAGGGAACTGTGATGCCAGCTTCTCAACAACATGCCCCAGATCACTTGCAGCCCCTTTAATAGGAAAAAAAAAAAAAATACTATTTACTAGACACCATGAAAAAGAAAGAAAAACACTCCTAGCCAGGAAGTTTAGGGGAGTGGGTATTGTGAAGGCATTACAACTCCAAAAGTCTGGAGGAATCTCTTAAAAACCACACTTGGGCCTGGCAGTTAGGATGCTGTGTTCCCAAGTCCAGGGATCCCCCAAAGAGAGTTTCACCAGCACGGCGCTCAGCCGGCCTCACTCTGCGGAGCCCTCAGGGAGTCGCTTGGAAAAGCACCGAAACATTAGCGGGGCAAGTGGGGCGCGTGCGAATCTCTTGTCTTAAAAATTTCTAGAACGTTAAGCCCGTTACAGAGAAGAAAATAATAAACTATAGCAGAGGTAAAACCATGAAATACACGTGGACTGAGGAGTCGAACCCCTTTTTCTGGAATATAAATCATAAAAGCAGAGAAGAAAAGAAACTGGGTAGGTTATGTAAGCCCATTCCTGGGAAGCGTGGATGCATCTTTGTTGTTGTACAAGGTTAATTAGGGCCCATGGGTCAGTTTCAGAGGGTTTGTGAACAGCGATGGGAAAGACATGCCATCTTTGTTTTTTCCTAAGCTATGCCTGAAATGAGCGTGTCTTTCTATTACGAATGTCCGCATAAGCCGCAGGCGTATTCCCCGCATCCGTGCCTGTCCCGTGGTTAGGGATCGCTGATTTTTTTATACTGCATGACAGTTGTAGCCAATATCTCAAAATATCACTTACGCTCCCCACCCCTTCAAAACTAGTCCCTGGTAGACCCAGGGCCAGATCTCGTTTTGTAACATGTTCACCAAGTAACACACTATACTGTGCATTTGTAGTTATTTNCACTCCTAGCCAGGAAGTTTAGGGGAGTGGGTATTGTGAAGGCATTACAACTCCAAAAGTCTGGAGGAATCTCTTAAAAACCACACTTGGGCCTGGCAATTAGGATGCTGTGTTCCCAAGTCCAGGGATCCCCCAAAGAGAGTTTCACCAGCACGGCGCTCAGCCGGCCTCACTCTGCGGAGCCCTCAGGGAGTCGCTTGGAAAAGCACCGAAACATTAGCGGGGCAAGTGGGGCGCGTGCGAATCTCTTGTCTTAAAAATTTCTAGAACGTTAAGCCCGTTACAGAGAAGAAAATAATAAACTATAGCAGAGGTAAAACCATGAAATACACGTGGACTGAGGAGTCGAACCCCTTTTTCTGGAATATAAATCATAAAAGCAGAGAAGAAAAGAAACTGGGTAGGTTATGTAAGCCCATTCCTGGGAAGCGTGGATGCATCTTTGTTGTTGTACAAGGTTAATTAGGGCCCATGGGTCAGTTTCAGAGGGTTTGTGAACAGCGATGGGAAAGACATGCCATCTTTGTTTTTTCCTAAGCTATGCCTGAAATGAGCGTGTCTTTCTATTACGAATGTCCGCATAAGCCGCAGGCGTATTCCCCGCATCCGTGCCTGTCCCGTGGTTAGGGATCGCTGATTTTTTTATACTGCATGACAGTTGTAGCCAATATCTCAAAATATCACTTACGCTCCCCACCCCTTCAAAACTAGTCCCTGGTAGACCCAGGGCCAGATCTCGTTTTGTAACATGTTCACCAAGTAACACACTATACTGTGCATTTGTAGTTATTTTTNGGGGCCAGATCTCGTTCTGTAACATGTTCACCAAGTAACACACATTCCTATACTGTGCATTTGTAGTTATTTTTAAACCTTTAGTTCTATTCAAATTGAATCGTTTCCTTGGTGATCTTCTGTACTTTATCATTACGNAGGGCCAGATCTCGTTTTGTAACATGTTCACCAAGTAACACACTATACTGTGCATTTGTAGTTATTTTTAAATCTTTAGTTATATTCAAATTGAATCGTTTCCTTGGTGATCTTCTGTACTTTATCATTACGCACGGACAAATATCACTCTGAGAAGGGGTTTAGAGTCTCCACGCGATGGCTCCTGGCAGGAGGAGGCCAGGTGCTGGGTGCCAGGCAGTGGCGGGCCGGCCTCTGTCCCCCCGCGGCACGTGCCAGCTCGCGTGAGTTATGACGTGAGTAGTTTCAAACACAGAAGCCCCTTGCACTGGACGTCCACATGCGCTCTTCTGGCATTCACCACGTGGAGCCTAACTAAAAAGCTATGTCCCCACTCGAAGGTGTAGGGTAAAGAACTTTGGGAAAAGGCTACCACAGTTGATTTGGGAGCAGCAGCCTGGCTTCGAGCAGGAACCAGGCTCCCGCGTTCTTACGCATCTGCACACCAGAGACCCAGGGAAAGTTAGAACGCGGGCCACCCTCCACCCTAGGGCTCTGGAGATGCCCACACCGCCACCACCGCGTCGTTCCTGTCTGCAGAATGCTGGTATTGTAAGGCTCAAAGCCATCCATGGAAATAAGAAATACAAAAAAATTGGCATCAGCTAGCTGGCATTTGTTGCAGAAGTTATTGGCAAATAGAGCTGTCTCCTCTTCTAGCCAATGGTAATGTGATGTTTTTAATTCAATAAAACGTTTCAAGAAAGTCCAAACCTAAACATTATAAACAGCGGGTAGTAAATATTTATTAGAAAGGGGAAACGAACTTTACGCAATTAGCCCAGTCCATCTCTTTTATGACTACGAGTTCCTCCTGTCCTTGTCAGCAGGCGCTGCAAAGCAAAGTCACCGTTTAAGGGGACTTTAAGGTGTTGAAGCTCAGATATTCGACCAGGTGGGACAGAGGGCGAGCCGGCCAAAAGCAGGTAGTGTCAGCTAGAAGGAAGAGTGCGGCGTTGCTACTGGAGACAGAAGCAAAAAGTGGGGGTCAGGCGACATCCTGGCCGCGATCACGGTGTCACGAAGCCCTCACCCCTTCTCTCCATGGGAGAGATTCATCTGTCTCCTACCGCGTCACCCGGGTGTCTGGAGATTCTCAGTCGAGAGGTGCTAGAAATGACCCCTCGCCCTTTCACCCTTCCTGCGTCTCGGCAACACATCCCACTGCTATTGCTCCGAAGCCCGCGTGTGACTGGTGAGGGAGGGATGGGCACTGGCCTTGTTGGTGGCTTGAGCACGAGCGTGCCTATAATTCTGGCCTTCACAGCGGACTGAGAGGTGCACGTTACGCTATTTTATTGAGGACAGAAGCTGGAGGCCAGTTGTTTCAGGAGGGCAAGAGTGACTCGGAGGCAATAGGCATTCCAGGGCTTTATGCCTCTTTTTCTACCTAATGTTCGCTCCTCTGCCCCTTTCCATTTAATTCTCTTGGCCTTTCCGTGCGGCCCGGAGGCAATGTCCCTCTTGCACGGGGGTGAGAAGATAGGTTCTCCTGTCCTGCCTCTTGAGCCTGTTGCATAGTCTCTCTGTGCCTCAGTCTACTCATCTGCAAAATGGGGAAAACAATTTCTGCTTCCACATCATGGGGTCGTCAAGAGGGTTAAGTGACAAATGAATGAGAGCACTTAGCACGTAGTAGGCCCTCAGGAAAGTTTAACTGGTATTGTTTTTCCTACCGTCTCGCTTCCGGGCGCCAGTGGGAGAGGAGACACTGTTCAGCCGACAGTCTCACTGGTGGGCCCTTCTCTGCATGTCTCTCTGTGCTG